TTCAGGGGTTTCAAAAGTTGCCGGGGTGACATCTGTCCCAAGGAACAGAAAACACAGATTTACAAAGTATAGAAAGTTATTGCTCTGAAAATACAAATCCCCATCAGAAAAAATCCCAAAACACTAAATCTCAGAAAGCCTAATTGACCTAATGATGCTTTGGGGCTGAAGGTTGGGAAATTACCAGGCCAAGTTTCGTTTCTTGGTGAAAAAAAAACAAGGTAACAAGGTAACCCATCAAGTGATCAGGCATTCATATTTACAAGGTGCAGGAGTATCTCTGGCAGTTTTGCCCAGCGAGGAGCCAAACTTGATGGCTATCTGTCTCATCTTCTCCAAATCACCGCTCTCTTCGGCCTCCAGGTATTCCTTCTGGGCACGCAGCTTCTCGACATCAGGGAAAAAATCCCTCTGGATGATTTTTTCCAGGCTCTGCAAAAGCATTCAGAAGAACCAAAATATGTTTCCCTGATAAATATTTAAAACAGGAGGCATTTGGATTACACAATTCTGAAGTCTTCTCTTTTGATATGGTGAGTCAAATGGTTGGAACCCCAAAACGCTTAAAAAAAGAGGTTCAACAAGCAATATAAACATACATACATACATACATACATACACACACACACACACACACACACACACACATATTCTAGCAACGTTTCGGCAGAATCTCATCTGCCATCATCAGGCTTGTGTATTGTGTTCGTCTGTGAGTCAGACTTTCACAGCCCTTTCTGTTTTCAATTTGGGGCTAGCCTACTGCTGTGCCAGAATGGTTTTTTCTTCATCCTGATTGGTTGGGAGTCTTGGTCTGTGTTTATTGGTCTTGGAGTTTGCTGTGTTCTGCTTGATTGGTGGGTTGGACTAGAAGACCTCCAAGGTCCCTTCCAACTCCCTGTCCTATCCTGTCCCTTATTCTATTCTTCATTCCATTCCATATTTTCTACCCTACCCTACCCTATTTTATTCTACTCTACTCCAATATTCATTCTATTCTATTCTATTCTATTCTATTCTATTCTATTCTATTATCCATTCCATTCCATTCCTCTTTCTTTCCTCCTCCTCCTTCTCCTCTTCCTCCTCTCCATTCCATTCCTTTTGCTTCTCCTTCTCTTTCTTCTCCTTCTCCCTCTTCTTTCCCTTCTCCTTCTCCTTCTCTTCTCTTCTATTCTCTTCTAATTCTATTCTATCATTCCTATTCCTATTTCTATTCCCCTATTTCCACTCACATTGTACTATTGACAGTAGAATTCTTTTTCTCCTATCCCCCCTCGCTTCTCTTCCCCTTCTTCCTGCCCACCGTTTCCCCTTTTTACTTTCGTATTTTGCATCTTATTTTATCTTGCAAAAAAAGGTTAAACCGGGGGGTGGGGTGGGTGGGAACCCCAACTGTCTCGCTTAGCCACGTAAATTCTGGGCACCGTTGTGGTCGTAAGTCGAAGACTACCCTGACCAGTAAAGCCAGGGCGATAATTAGCAAAGTATATAAATCTGAATCAGAGATTAAAGGGATGGAATGTAACAATGTTTTGGGAATATTTTGATTTCCTCCTCCTCCTCCTCCTCCCACCTCCGCACGACGACCCTGCGAGGTAGGCCAGAACGGGGGTTGAAAAAGAACGCCGGGCCGCCAACCAGGCGGGGAAGCGCCCGAGGGCTGATCGGCGACGACCAGCCGGGTCCCCCGAAGGCCTGTCTGGCCTCGTCCCCTCACCTGAATGTAGGAATCCTCATCCAGAACCCTCTTGGGGCACTTGGGGGCTTCCTGGGGCGCCTCCTTCCGCAGAGCTACGGCGGAAGCCTCGGCCTGGACGGGCACCAGCGCCTGGGCCGAAGCGCCGCACCCGGCCGGGCCCCCCGGAGGCTCCATGTCGCCCCACGAATCGTCTCCCGTGGCAACGCAGCCAGGCCTGGGCTCTCACTTCCGGAAATACGGCCACTTCCGGAGACACACCGGAAGCTCTTCCTCCTACGCCGTCCCGGCATGCGCGCCAAGGCCACGCCCCCCCCAAGGGGTGGCAATCCGAGCGTGCAGGAACGCCTCCTCTTGACGTGATATAGAGGTAAGGCGAAGGGGGCAGCGCGCGATCGCTTCGGGTTCTGTTCGCAGCTGCAGCGGGGCGGGAGGGGAAGGTGTGAGTGGCTTGGAACGCCCTACCGAGCCTACTCTGCAGGGTCGTCGTTCATCTTAGACTCAGTCCTCCTAATTTCACTCCTCCCCCCAAAAAATAGAAAAATAAGACAAGTGGATATCTGAAAAGCGGGGATTTGCGCCTCTGCCGCCCCTTACGATTCTAATTATGGAATGATCAATTGATTTCTATTTCCATCTTTGCAAAATTTGCATTTTTTTAGGAATCACGGGATCCATAAGTGCAAAACCTTCGCTATTCTACTTTGCATGTTGTGTTGCGTTGTTGCACTATAAATATATTTTTGCATTTTACACACCCCAATCAACATCTAAAATGCCACAAACAACAGCCATTACAAATCACCTTCTTTTAATGACCCCATAATCCCTTGCAGGGTGGAGTCTTGGCAACTGAATGGAGCTGAGAGTTTACTGGCCGGATGCCTTTCCTGCTGCCAATGCGGAGTTTTGTTCCGCAGATATATTCTCATTGTACCCAGAGGAAGATCTGGGTCCCATGGTCATGGGGAATGCTCGAGGTTGTAAGTGTGAAAAATGCTCATCATCAGAAAAATGCTCAACATTTTTCAGTGACGTCGTAACTTTGAATGGTCACTAAATGAATTCTTATAAGTCAGTGATGGCTAACCATTTCCACGTTGCGTGCCACACACACACATCTCCCACATGGATGCGCAGCAGATACCTGACAATCAGCTGGCTGGTGGTGGGCATGTGCGCATGCACAGTGGGGCTCTTCCGGGCGACCTCTCGCACCACTTCCGGCATGCATGTTATAGGTTCACCATCACGGTTATAAGTCAAGGACATCTGATTTACCCTGCCCGTGTTATGTGTGCAAATTGATTGGAGGAAGCAACAATGCCAGAAAGGGTTAGTGGGAGGAGGAGGAGGAGGAGGAGGAGGAGGAGGAGGAGGAGAAGAAGAAGAAGAAGAAGAAGAAGAAGAAGAAGAAGAAGAAGAAG